CGCAATTACTTGTCTGGCAATGCCTGTCTTTTTCGCGCCATTCTGTCACAGATTAACAAATTTGTAAAGAACTGCATAGCTCATTTTACACACTGCGAACCCGACCACTTGCATGCAAAATTTCAAATTCTTCTATGCAGTAGTTGCCGACATATGGATACTTTTTTTGACAGAACCATGCTTTGCCAAAGCCAAGCTTTGACCTGCCCAAAGGAGCACTTCCCAATTAAATCACTGCATATTACATAATGCAGCAGCGCAACAAACCTGGTAATCAGTTAATTGGTAGCGATACACCTGAATACACACTTCTCTATTCACATATCTTATATGAGATCGGAGTTTGTGAAAAAAAACGCATTTTCACCTAGGCATACATTCGAAACTGAAATATTCCATATTAAATGTTAAGTCTGTATATCTTAGACTTTTAACTAAAAAATACAGCGCCGGCGACACTGTCTCTTCTTTTAAGGTGTGGACATATATCCACATATGCTTGAAATAGGAGGAAAAAATCCACTTAAATCATTTTATTCAACCTGACACCCAAGTTGCAAATGAAGCATCTGCGGGCAAAATGGTTTTCCCGTACCTTTCTTCTCTGAACCATCTCGTTATTCCGGTGAAAATTGAAACACCATTGTATTAAATGTCTACGATTTCATTTTTGACATTTCTGTTGGAAACACTTCCACTACTCACACTTATAATAATAATAATAATAATAATAATAATAATAATAATTCTATTTAAGGTTCCTTATGATAGAAGTTGGGAGGAGACCGAAGTAAAAACGAAGAACATTCGTGGTAGAATCTGGGAGGAGGCCGAAGTAAAAACGAAGAAGATTCAAGTGCTCTGAAACTACAACAGAAACAGAAAAAAAGCATAACAAAGGATCAGTTTGTGGAAGCAAAGACAGAAAAGTTCGACAAAGATGAAATGAATATTTAAATTGAAACGCGATTTATTTCCCTATTTACTGGCACGCACAGACACTTAACATTTTACTTTGTCCGGATTTACCTTTTCAAGGTACCTTAAACATGTTTTTTTTTTTTTATTCTTGATCACACCAGTAGTTATTTCAGTAACATTTAAACTTAATTACATGAAAAAGTTGACAATTAAACACGGTTATAATATAGGGTTCCTAAATCGGCTTTAAAGCAAAAGAAAGCCCGTGAACTGGTCCTTTGTTATAGTTTTCAAAAATATGACGCTTTAGCCGGTGAATTTTGTTATAATATAGGATGTCTGACTCAGCTTTAAAACAAAAAGAAAGCCCATGGCCATGAATTAGACCTTTGTAATATTCACCACTTATCGTAACTGCTGCGTATGCCTTGGCTCATCTCTGTATAAACAAAGATATTAAATAGCAATGAACGCAATGGCTCATTATACAAAATGTTTTAAAACACATGATGCAGAAATTTATCTGGACTGCTGATAGACCTTCGGCGACGTGGATGAAGATTATGTTGATTACGTTTTAGCAACTCCTAAAGTTGTGTTATTCATTTCAGAAAGAGAATACGAATCATTGATTGAAAATGAGCATACCGCTTTATCCCCATTCCCACTTGTCACTTGTATATGAGTAAAGGTTACATTTAACTGAATCTATATAAAATAGTGATGATAGCGTATACGCAATGCATCAAGACACACGACACAGAAATTTATCTGGATTTTTCGGCGATGTGGACAAGAATTACGTTGACTACAATTTAGCAACCCATGAAGATGTACAATTCGTTTTTAGAGAAAAAACTCTCATCGTTTCAAATGTTTTGACAATTTTTATATACTATTCAACCAAGAGAAAAATCTGCTTAAAATGTATCAATAAAATAATCAGGTCTATGTGTGACGCAGAAATTCGTTTGAGTTGTTTAAAGAACAACCACTTGAAGAATATGCCGAATAGTTCCTAATTATTCAATAGACCAATCAGATGTAAAAAAAATCATGAGCTGCTTAAATAAAAAAACATTGATATATATCTGACTTATTATGTTTGTGTTATAGAGAGTTGATCGTTTCTCACATATGACAGGCGGCATTAACATGGGAATATCTGTGGGTACAGGGTATTTAATGCATACGTGTTCCTTCATGCATAAAAAATCTTGAAATTTCAACGATGCAATTCACCCAAAGGCTTTTTTTTATACATGCAACTAAAACCCTTAGGAATATTACAATCAACAGTGAAACTAATCGCTTGTGCTTTACTATCCATGATTCCCTTTCTCTTGACAGTTGTGCTCTTTTTGGTGAAAACAAAACGCAGAACGTTTGCATTAAAACATTTTAAATAATTAAATATGGTACCCAAAGGTGACTGATTAGTGATTGTTCTAATGTAGGCTCTCTCACATGTCTGCCTTTAAAATGCTTTACAACACAAAGCTACGTGTTGCTTGGCTGTGGTCAACGCTTGTAGGTGCAACAAAGGAACGCGACAAATGGAGAAAAGCGGCCTCCAAAGTACACTGCTGGATGCTATAATCTGCAATCGTAAAGCGGGTCCTAGCCTCCTCAAGTGTTTGAAAGAGTTGGCCCCAACGGATATGTTCGTTTAAGACTTTAAAAGTTATCGTGAAGTCGTTTTCTTTAGTCACGTATCCTCCAGGCAGGCGCGAAGTTATAAAAGAAATAAGATCGTTGGTGGCAATTTCCTCTTCATCTGTCAGACGTATTTCGATGTTAACGCCGTCCCCGTACACATTTTTAAGCGACTGTGGACTGCCCATAGTAACAAAGTGCTGGTCGATCATTATTGTCACTCGAGTGCACTGCATTTCACTTTCATCAGTGCTAAAATATATAAACATCTATTTTAAAATAAATTAATAAAAACACTTACGTTTTACTTCCTGGGTACTAGATATCTTATTTGTAATAGTTAACAGAAACTTGGTAAAAAAGCTCACAGAACGTTGTGATTTATGAAGAAAGTCAAATCTCATTTTGCTCGGGCATTACCATGTCTCTGCAAACTGCATACAAGACATGAATGGTCTAGATCGGGAGCAAGGGACAATCCACACAAACCTGTTGGTGGTCAGCACTAGCGTTGTGCCTTGTTGACGTATTTCTTGCAGAACTGACCATATCTTTCTCCTGCACAATGGATCAATACTTGTTGTCGGGTCATCCAGGAATATAATGGTTGGTTTTCCAATCAACGCGACTCTTGTTCTTTATTTTCTCTCTGTCCCAGCACTGTCAGAGAATTAAGGAAAAAGAGCATTGAAAATTTTGTCTTCGTAGACCATAACCTGGTAAGGCCAAGAATACGTATGGTGTGCATACGGTTCAACTGGGTAACTCATCATCAAAACAAATATATTATTTAACAGTTGCGCACCATGGTTCTCAGTTCAAATGGCAATTTTTCACATCGAGCGCGACTGTAACAGCTTCCTATGCAATGTTCACAAACAGAGCAAGATTAAAAATAAAATCAAGAGAAATGTGTCACTTGACGTCTTCCTTTTTAATGGGAAAGTGAAACGCCCCTTGTATTTGTCCTAAAATATTTGCACACCATACAACTCACCTGCAACTTTCTATGACGTCATCAATCACATGCTCCCGATTAGATTCTGTGACTCCTCGCAACCTCGCAACTCGGCACGTCAGGTCACTCATCAGAGAGCACGATTTGGAGCAGTAGCCAACATAGAGGCGGACCTAGATTGGAAGAAGTTTTTGTTGTGCGACTTAAGATCGTAAAAGTTTCTTTTATACTTTGACAATTACACATAGCATACATGGATAAAGATTAAATGTAATTGAAGCGTATTTGGCGAAGTGACAGGCAAAAACCTCGTTGCATCCCGTGTAACATAATTTTAATTAAAATGTCGAACCATTTGTTGGAAAACTGCACGATAACTCATTTTGATCGGGTTTCCGAAATTTTTCTTATTATGTTCCTCGTCTGCTTTATTTTTTCATTCATTAAAATCGTAGATGATACTTTTCTGAAATTAATTTTAAAATTTAATTTCCGTCAGATTGAACTTATTCATTACGACCCCCCGCACATGTACATGTACATGACTCAGCTTTTGAATTGCCAAACACATCTTACAGTTTATAAGTTATGAAGACATGTAATCAAAAATAGAAATCTGACATCAAGATTGATAATAAATCACATTTCAAAATTACACAACCATAGCGCCAGGTTGCAAAGCTACATTGACAATGAAGTGTGGTTGCGTGTCGTACGTAATGTTTATAATCTGGCCAAACATACTACTGATATTTTCATCTTTTGGAATCAGTTTTTCAATACGTAGCTTGAAAGCATGTGTCCTCAGAGGACTGCACAAACCTGTTCAGTATGTTGCACTGAGTATGGCTCATAGTTGTGTTAGTATAGTTGAAGGCAGAAAACAACACTGTGAAGATCCAACCCGTTATTTCCGGATAGAAAAATGGCGTCATCATATCATATCATATCATCATATCCACCACGTCTAGCAGTCGGTATGGAACGATGTAGAGGAGGAAAGCTTCCAGGACGACAGAATATGCGCCTTTAGAACAGGAAATCCTATTTGAGCGACATCTGTCCAATTTTAAATTTTAAATTGTGAAATGAGTACATATGTAACAAAGATAGTCCATATGAGATGCTTGAAGTAAAAAAAAATGTATGTAGAAAATACGGACTTGACTTACAAAACTATGTCGGGTTGAAATTCAGTTGTATTAACGAGAGCTACATTCTAAATAATCTGAGTAGGACTGTGTTAAATGTGCGTGTATCATGATTGTTTCATATGAAAAGTAGGATGCTCGAAAAGAACTCTATGAAATAAATCCAAGAAGTGCTGACGTACATCACAAACAGGAAAATGCACGTGTGGGTCACACTGATCATAGGGGGCCACAACTTCCATAAATCATTTCCACTGTCGTAATCTTTGCCATCCATTAGATCGTTATCCATGTGGCGACTATACGACGGCAAAGGGTGGTTGTTGACCGATATGGAGTACTCGTCTCCGGCAAGGTACCTCAGCAAGGCGTTGTTGACAAGGTTGAGAGCTAGTGGCATGCAAAGCCCAGTGCTAATGTGGTATCCAACTTCATCAATTTCATAGCTTACTCCAATCATATACTCATTTGCAAACTGGACCGAGTCGATTTTTCGCTGAGTGTCCAGCAAGATTGGTCCACAGTTTGGTTCCATGATGGAGACTTGGTAACCGTGGCCAGCACGTTTCTGTGCCCATCTGAGATGTTCCTTGCTCATTGAGAGTCATCAGTTTGCACTGTCGCGAAGAAGGGATCTTTGGATGCACTATTCATTACGTGGATGGTGATTGGAAGATCTATTCGTTCTGAATGGGACCTTATGTTTTGTCACGCGGGGCAGTTATTGTCATGTGCTCGAAGCACGTGCTGTGTTCACGTCAAAATAAATCGCCACAGGCAGAGTTGTGTTGCGGTATAAAAGACGGAAACATGAGCACAAGAAAACAGAAGTAAGTACACGGTTCGGCTGCGTGAAATTGCAGAAAAAAATGGTTAGATATGTGACGGTCTTCATCCTTGTGATGATCTTCGCAGGAGTTTTAGGCAAGGGTTCCAAAGGACCCAAAACTCCAAAATCTCCGGGACATCCCACCCCCAAGACCCCCAAGACTCCTCCCACGCCAGGGAATTGCTTCAGCCCAAAATATAGGGAATTGGAGTACAAGACGGACGAAATTGTTGTAGATACGCAAGGTTCTAGCTATCAGGTGAGTAAATCCTCCAAATTAAATGGTACAGTCTACTTAATTCGATTGTCACGAATTAAAGAAGTAATACGGTTTTGTTGCGCCATTCACATTATTCTGAACGCTTCTGCACAGTGAACACTTCCATCCATTTTATTAACCCAAATTTTCTTAGGGTTTCCTGAGTTCTGAAGTTTATACCATGGTGCCAAAGTGATCTACGCTGTTCGTAACGTGCCTCAATGGGTGAAATTATTCTGTCGTAGTTTCTAAATGATATCATTATGAATATATCCAAAAATATTTAGCTGATACATAGTCTTTGAAAAGCTTGAGAATGGAAATATTTCGATTGAAGGACATTGGTATAAATGCTGTTAGATATTTCCCTTTATGAAAAAAGGCCGAGTTTTTTTTTTCAAATTCAAGCAGACTTAAGGGGGGTTCGTCTACGCGATAATCAATACATGTTACCTGTGGATGTATGCACCAGCAGGGTCAGGGACGAGAGCAGAATATGTGTCACAACCATTTCAAGTGTCTCAATATTTTGCCCGTTGGTCGCCTGATGGTTTTTGTTTTACCCACACCAATGAAAGATTTACATCAAGTTTGTGCTTACGTGTTAGTTTGAATTACGTCGCTGTTTAATTTTTAAAAATATTTTTTCAAAATTTTACTTCCAAAAAGAAAAAAAAACTCAATATTTCATGTATTTCGTCTTTCAGTCGTCGTCCACAATTGCCTTGTACTTGGCCAATTATACGGCGTGTGTTTTGGAGACCAGAGTTGAAGGAGACACGTCTTCAGTAATTCAGACAATTTACGATTACAATGACGTAAGTATAAGAATTAATGTCTCTTCTTGATTATTTTGTCTCCCAACTCTAAGGGCAGGCAGTTATGTCAGATATAGCATTTGTCAATCTTTTCTTTTTCGCTCGTGGCGATACTTATTAGAAAAATAGAACGCGAAAACGAATTTGACGATGAATATTCAGGAATATATATCCCGATACAAAATACCCCGCATTACTTATTGGTCCTAGTTACGTGAAGATTAGAGACAGGTAATGTTCTTGAAAAGGGCGTGTTTCAATTACAGAATGACCTGTGCGATAGATAACCTTTGGATATCTTGTCCTTTAATAGATTGCCATACCAAAATAAAATTAGTTGCTCTCTTCGTAAATATCGAGTTTATAGAAAACTGCGCCTTTCACTTGCTCTGGAAATTACTGTGCCACACGGACACGTGACCTGTGACGCAATAATTGACGATGCTGCTGATATAAGAGGTAGTTATCAGGTTGAAATATCAGACTGAGCTGTCACTATCTACCTCCCAGGTGCGTTTTCAAACTCTAGACAACAACCCGTGATCATTGATCATTTGCTTTCCTTACCTGAGGGGTTGAAAACCTTCTTAAAGTCATATGCCTGCCTATATAAAATTCTTCAACTACTGTAAGTAGAACGCCACTTGAAAAGCGGCTGTGTGAGGGTGCTCGTGTAGTTTAATTTATATTTAAAGGTTAAGATAAAGGGATTTCGTTACGTTGTGATTTATTTCCATAGTCGCTTATATATTGCGAAAATAAGCAATAATGCTGTCACATCAAAAATATACCGGGATAAATTTGCTAATGCGAACTAATGGCGTAACAACATCGTTTTTGGGATGAAATTTGTAATGTCACTTTCAAACAGATCTGCCTTATCAGTTATCTGATCAGCTATAATGACCGTTTCACGGCTAGAGAAAATTGTCTTGAAGGATAACTCCAGACTTTATCAGGAAAGAGGCAATATAATGCTTAAGTTTCAAGGGGCATTAAAATGGACTCAGATCTCTCAAACAAAAATGTGAAAAAAAAACCTGGCACCGGATTTTTGTTCACAGCCAAGTCGTCAACCCTGCCAATTGTAGTGATCATAGGTGTAAAGTTACGCCGGAAACCGATCACTGTTTCACACCAAGTTACAAAACAGCAAAAGTGACGACGAACGCTTTGCAACCCTCTGTGGAAAGCTTTTGCTCTTTAAGCCCTACTAATTAGTGTTAAGTTGCGCTAATATCAAGATAACTATTTTACAAGAAAGCGACATGAAAGCTATTTTACCAAATGTAGGTTTTTACAACTTAATGAACTCCTTTAAACCTACCGGTATGCATAATCATTAGCATTGCTTAGTCCATATTAAATCATTGTTTGTTTGTTGATGACGTGTTGAGAAATTTAAACCCATGTGAATGATCTCGATAACAACACCAAGCTCACTCAAGATTAAAGTAAAGACAACGCCCTAGCATTTTTTCACTATTAAATCTCTTTTGCTAATTTTGATTATTAATTCTTTGTTTTTTTATTCTGTGATTTATTTCATACATTTTAGTTAAAGGAATACGTAATAAGCGAGGACGGAAATTGCACGGAGCAAAGTATACCGGGAAATAGAAGTCTCGCAACCGACTTTCTTTGCATTCCAGGTAAATGTCATTATTTTGAGAGATTAGAAGGGGACATTTGGGGAGGGATTGTACCTACGAATTTAAGGAGAGGACACGTTACTAGTTGTCACTGTACCCACCTAGAGCCCTATTGGCCAGATACTTTGTACTTAATTGAATGCGTAGTTTTTCATATCGAGGCAAATGCGAATAGAGCAGAAATACGAATTAGAACCAATAATTATAATTATAAGAATAAGGCCATTTCATTTGGCAGCTAAACACACGTTGGTACATGTGCAATAAAATGATGTAAAATTAAGTGAAACATTTAAAATTATCTTTTCTTGTCAATTGAGAAAACTGATGGAAATCGCATCTGCATCTTTATTGTCACAACATTTTTCTGAAACCATAATTAGGCTAATGGTGGATAAAACTTCACAAGAGCATATTTTCCCAAGCTTTTTGGATACGATAGCCACGATCTAGTGCTACGTTAATAATTATAACTTAGACACATGTTTTGCAATTAGGGATCGTAATTATACAAAACCGTTTTTCCAAACTTAACTTCTTAACATAAGGCATGTTGAAAGCTAAATCTTAAATTGCTTTTCTTCTTTTAAAGGAACGGCCACATGTGACGATTACGTTACTCTCGGAGTTGGCCGAGGGGACATGGACGCTTTTATCTGTAAAATGGACAAAGAAGAGGATGGGATGGTCTACAATTACACATACATTACCCAAGCAAAATCAAACTTCCTGGTATTTAAGAAGATGTTCGGAATAGGTAAATGATCATGTTTTTACATTATGTCTTTGCCTTCAGTCACGTGATCGAACAAGGTTTGCGGTATTTGATATTCATACGTGATTTTAACTATTTTCACAAAAGTCATTTACTCATTGTAGATAAAAAAGGTAGGCGAAGGCATGCCGTTAACTTTATTATGAAAAAACATAAATAGACGTTTTCATATAAATACGTGTGCTTTACAACAAGAAATAGAGAAAACGCTATTGCAAAAGAAAGAAGACGGATTAGCCGAATCTAGTTTAAGCATGACACAGATTCCAAACATGAGAAATAACACAGTGCACGTATAAAGAGTGAAATTGCTTTGTTTCTTGCCACTTTAACAACCATTCTTTGTTTACAAGGCGCAGACAACGGGACATCCAAAGCGACACTCTTCGAGACATTCGTCGTGAAGCCCAACAAGACAGCCAACAAGACAGACGACGGGAAAGACGACACACCCACAGTCAGTATAGCCAGCCATACGTATTGTGCATACGACCTCAAATACTCAATAACAGATCCAAGCATGTGCAACATACCTCAGAGTTGTACAACAACAAAAACTAAAGTAAGTTGCCTTTATATTGGGGATAACTTTGTAGAAATGTTTATTTGGCTGTTTGAGACGTCCTCTTTAATAAATCAACCGAAATATTGTTGAAATGTTAATTTCAGAG